TCTTGTTATGGGCGGGTAAAAAAAAGTATGGGGAAAGCAACCACAAAAGAATAAGCTCCTGAAGTGAACCAAGTATGTAAATGAGATAGTCGACTTTCCTGAATAGTCGTAGTATGGAAAGAAATCTAAGAAAATATGGATAATTCATTGCCCAAAAAAATAAAAATAAGAAAAACAAAAACAGAAGGATAAGGGATTTCTGCCCACCCTCTTCCCCCCAAGAGGGTCTGGAACCCCCATTGCGCCCTCCATCTTTGATCCCCGCCCAGTTTCAACCCTCTTGATGGAGGAGGCACTCCCAAACTAACCTGCAACTTACTGCTTCCCCTTCTGACGGATCTTTTGCGCGCGCGCGCTCTCTCTCTCTTTCGCTCTCTCTCCCGATACTTCTCTCTTTTTTTCATCTCTCTCTCTCGTCTTCATCCTTCTCAATCCTCTTCTTCCTCTTCCATTCTCTCTTCTCCCAATCCTAATTCTCAACCTTAGTTTCACCCTAGACCATCTCTCCCGGCCCATTCAACCAAGCCCAAGCTGTGGGGATGGTAGATGCTCTATTAAATTGATAACCTCCCCTCCCTCCCTGATCTCCTCGTTCTTTATCGTTATCGTTATTCTCCTCGTCGCATAAATCTGGGATCCCCATAAACTTCCTCCCACTTCCCCCTACCTCCTACTCTTCATATACTCCATCTTTCTTCTTCCCACTTTTCATATTCCTAACCTCTTTCCACTCACATTGCTACTCTCCTGCAATCTACTCCTACTTTCCGCGAGTGCTCTCCCCTCATATCCTCTCTTCATTTTCTCTATACTATCTACTCTCTGGGGCCGCATCCGCGAATTCGTCCCCGCCAGCGCCACTCCTACCCACGCACTCATCAGCGACAGCCTTTCCTTGCCTGTCTCAAAAATTCAGTCAGTCTCGCCTGTTCCATCACCTATCCAGTTCAGTTTAGTTTTTGTGGGATCAATCTGTTGACATCTTTTTTCTGCAGAGAGCCCCTCCTATCCCTTCCAGTCACTTGATACTGATAGCAGCCCTCCTTTGCCCCACGCGATAAGAGGCGACACGCAAAGAGAGGATCTCCCCACCCACTATGGCTGGCACCATGGCCGACGACGAACTGTTCACACGGGCTATTTCTGGGTATCGGGACGCTTTCTTGGTTCGACACTCCCACCTTCCGGAATCCGAGCGGAATGAACTTTGGAGTCAGCGGTTGAGTCAGTTCATGACCACCACGGCCTCTCCGTCAGCTTCCTCGTTCGATGCCTCCTCCAGCTATCGCCCGGTTTCCGGCTCTGGTGTTTCCGAAGACGACAGCGCTGCTTTGGAGAAGTCTGGGAAAAGGACGCGACAGGATACCCCCCGGACTCTCCCTGGCTCTGGTCTCCCCCCACCGAAACGACGAGTCACCGTACGTGAATCATCCTGGTCTTCTACTCCCGCCTTCTATTCATGTCTTCGTCCTTTCCCATTCTGTTCTCCTCGCGTTCCTCCATGACCTCACTGTCTCTTTCTTCCATCTCCCGACAACTGTCCCTGGGTTGACAAATGGCAGACTCCGGAACCTCCAGTGACCGTCGACTTGACACGCGAGTTGTCTCATGCTTCCTCCCCGGCGGTGCCTGAGACAGCTCGGCGCTTGTCAAGAACCAATTCACGGAAGGATACCGCGGCTACTTTCTCGGGTCCTGGGTCCTCGCGACAAACGGCCATGGTCCGCTCACAGAGTCAGCAAACGCCGGTTTCACACCGCCCGTCGCTGGCCGCCACCAATCTGAAGGGACATCGACACTCTTATGGACCTCAGCGCGTGCAGCGTCGGCTTGACCATGTGAACGAATATACCCCCTCGGAGTACGCCAAGCAGTACTTGGGTGACTTCCAAGGCCAAGGAAACGTTTCGGCTCTTTCCATGGCGCTTTCAGCGGATCCCGCGCTCTCTGGATTTGACCAACAAAGGTCGCAATTAGTTCAGGCCCAGCCTGAGCTAATGGCCGACTTCGCCACCTTGGCAAACCCCACGATGGTCGACCAGCCGGCCGCGGTGGAGATGAGCAGGAGTACTACCACAGACTCGCTTTGCGGGGGGTTTGGCATGATGAGGTTTGATTCTTCCGGACCAAATCTTGATTCTACTTTCTCTTTCTCTGTGCCTTCAACCGAGTTCATGCCTTCCAGTTCGCCGATGAATGTTCCCTTCCCCACCAGTTTCAACCCCCTGCACCAAAATCCTGCTCATGATCTCGCGTTCTCCTACCCTGACTCCACTGCCCCGGTTTCCTTCTCTTGCTCTGCTCCTTCTTCTACCCCGTTCTACTCCCCCATCCCTACCTTCTCCGCATCTCCAGCGACGGAGATGAAAGCCTCATTATCTACTGAGAATGACAGTCCCTCATCCCTTTCCCAACCCTCCAGAGCAGCGCGCAGAACTCAAGAACAAATTGTGCAGGGCGCTCGCCCTATTGCTCCCAAAGCGGAGGCTCAGAGTAGCTCACCACCCAAGGTGGGTGAGCAGCATAAGATGATCAGAATCTCATCTTCCGATGGGACGGCTAAGGAGGTGGCCGCCATCCCCAAAGCTTCGATCCAGCGGCCCACGCGCCCGAAAACGTATTGCAACATGTGCAATGACCAGCCGGACGGCTTCCACGGGGAGCACGAGCTGCGTCGGCATATCGAGCGGGTGCACGCCGTGGTTCGCAAGGTTTGGGTTTGTGTTGACATTTCTCCTGACAAGACCTTCCTGGCCAATTGCAAGGCCTGCCGCAATGGCAAACGATATGGTGCTAATTATAACGCCGCGGCTCATCTCCGTCGAACCCACTTCAACCCCTGCCAACGCGGTCGGGGTGGCCGCGGCAAAGACAGCGAGAAGCGCGGCGGTAAGGGGGGTGGTAACCACCCACCCATGGACGTCTTGAAGCACTGGATGGTGCAGAAGACCGAATTTGTTGTGGGCAACGCTCCGAGTTTCAATAACCAGGAATCACTAGGGGATGATCTGACGGCCGCACCGCTGGTGGTTGGCGCTGAAGATGTACAATTCTCTAGTCTGCCTCTGGCAGCGGCTGACGAGATCTCTTCTCAAGTCTTAGAGACCGCCCTCATTGACGGGTATGACCCCATGGCTACGTTCCCTGCGATGGGCATGGAGATTCCCTTGGATCCGACGCCTTGCTATTTTGAATCTCCAACGCTCCCCCCTGAGATTGACTCGTATGTGTGATGGTGCGATCTGCTAGGCGCTCTTCATCACCTCAGCATTAAACTTGCATTTTTGGGCATTTTCTCTCATCTTATCTTTTCTGTTTGATTCTTGGCATTCCAGCCTGATGTGATACTAATACTTTGGCTTTTGGATTTTCCTATATTGCGGGATCTTCTTGTCTATGCTTCTTTCTCCCTGCCCCATTTTCTTTTCTTACTCTTCTCCCACCATTTATTCTTCTTTTCTCTTAGGGCTCTCTTTGCTGCCCTCTTTTTTCTTCTTTCAGACCTCAAAGGAAGGGTCGATCTCGTTGCCCTCTAGGCCGCCCTGGGGGCGCGCCACGACATAATGTTTGATGAGCAGACAGTCAACCAGACACAGAGTTCTGAATATAGTGATTTACTGAATACAATGTCCCGAAGAGATGTCGAGAGGCACCCTGCTTGGCTCTCCTGGTCTCTAAGCGGTGTAGGATAAGGCAGGGAGGCGACTGGCTGACCCACTATACCTGGTGCTTGGTACTTAATCTGGACTTACTACTAATTATACACATTGAACCGATGTCCACGAGACTCCGAGTGCTGGTGATGGTGTGGACGCCCAGTGGCTGAATAGGTGGCGGGGAGGGTGTGTCGGCGGCACAGCCGGAGAAGAGAAACGATGAGCATGGGACGCTGTCTGGCACTAGCCCCCTGACATTGCTATTTTTCCTCAACAACAAACAGGATTTCTGCGGAAGTCGGCACTAATGACTGAAGCAACCTTCTCGTCCATCTGCACTTTAGGCCTGACTATGACGCTCATTGAGCGGCGCGGAAGCGTGGGGTGATTGCGCAAAAGCGCGTGTCAAGCCCCAACTGCCCCGTTAGCGATCTCCAGTACAGCTAACCACCAAGCGCTGTTATCCGATTTGAAACAAGCTAGTCATATGACTCTCAACAAGGCGCGTACACCTAAAGTATCTTCGTATCTCTTGTTGGTTATTGAGCCCGCCCGTCCTCGTCGCCCTTGCGAACACCTGGGCGCTAATAAGTAGCGCTGTCTGCTGCTAGCCTCGGTTCAGAGAAACACCACGCATGGGAAGCCACCCAGACATGCAGTAACTAAATCAACATATCGATATGTCAGTAGCCTGACCATACATCGGCCGAAAATGATGATAATGGCCTACCACCCAACGCTTAAACGTCGTTTCCAAATATCTGCCTTATCATCCGGCGTTCCTGCGCTGTACGACTAGGAGCTCTTTGCTGAAGTCTAAGTGTCTAATGTCATCGAGACACCGGTTAAACAGCGATGCTTTCCCATCAGTCTATCAGTGTGATCATGATAGTATCCTTGATCGAGGGTGACAAAAGTTGCAGGCATATCGTGTCCGCTACCGCTGAATGTTGTGAGGTAAATGCAGGTGTCGTTCAATATAAGCCCTAATCGAACAAGCTTTTCGTTATATCAGCCTTTGACCTGAGTCTACAGCGGGGACAGCAACTTGGTTTAATAGTAGATTGGGTCTGTGTTATGATGCATCCCGGGGCGTCAGGGAATGGGGGTTTCTCCAGCGGCAAGTCGGGGATGAAAACGACTCTTATAGCTCTGATAGTACAGTATAGTGGATGCAAGAGTAGACTGATGAGCCGTCCTATCTACACACATCCGCCCTGATCCTGTAGACTACAAGTCGTTAGGAACTTGCCATCGAGGCCCCAACGAGATACAGGCGATAGATAGTTCGACGAGTATATCTGAATATAGAGGAAGAGGTTCGCAAATCATGATACTAACCACCTACCTATCGACACCACCTACCCCCGCCTCAATCCCCTTCATCCTCCGCTCCGCCTCCCGCGCCACGCTCCGAACACCCTCATCTTCCCCTTCCATCCCCGCCACCTCACCAAACCTTTCCCTCCACAGCCCCCACCGCTCCCGACAGAAGCCATGCTTCCCCTTCCACAGGGGCCCGCCCCGACCTCTCGCCCCCACCCCCGGCCCAGCCGCATACTCCTCCTCCCACCCATAGATCTCCGCCCCGAGCACCTCCACCCACACCGCCGCCGCCGGCACCCACGCCGCGAGGGGATCCTCCGGGCTCATCCGCTCCCACGGTGTCTCCAGCGCCCGCCGCAGCGTCACGAGCGCGAACCACGCGTGCGGCCGGAAGACCGGCTCGTGGGTGGCGACCAGCCGCGCGACGAAGCGGTTCACGTTCACGATCCTTGCGATCGCGGCGGCTCGCTCCTCTGTCTCCTTAGTCCCTGGAGTTGAGCTTGGGGCTGGGACGGAGTCGTTCCACCGGTGGCGGATCTCCCAGCCCAGCATTGGTAGGTCTTGCCAGACGCGCATGTCGTGAACGGTTAGCGGGCTTTTGGCGTCTTCATCTTCATCTGCTCTGGGTGCGGTGGCGTCTGGGAGATGGGATAGAGCTGTGAGAAGTGATACCAGTTTGTCCTGATGCGCAGGGTTTTGGATGGCGAGGTCCAGGATTAGGCGCCATAGGTGGGTGAGTTTGTCTTCGAGGGATTCTCCTGAGGCTGGAGGGGATAATGTGGTTGAGGCGATGGTGGTGGCAGCTTCCGGGGAGGAAAGGTTATTGTCTGCGACGTAGGCTTGGAGGATTGGGTGGTAGGGGCCCTTGTCTTTGGTGGAGTTGCCGCTTGAGTCGGCAGGGGTGGTGGCTTGGTGAATTGTCATGGTTTCTTTGTTCTATATGTATGGGGAGATGAGACGAGACACTTGTCCCTGGCAAGTTTTCTGTTTATTTATCTAATTTATAGGCAGGGGACAGGGTAATGACAAAAGCCAAGGCTGAGGTAGAGCTGGCCAGATATTTAGATACGGATTATCAAGATAGGGAGTTTTGGAGGGAAACAGGGAATGGATGGGTTAGCTGCTTTAGTGACGCTCTACTAATCTAAGTAAAGGTTGTTATCATACATCTAGAGGACCATTAGTCTATACGATTAGAATGGTTGGGAGAAGATGGAAGTCACGTGAGTCCAAACACCGTTCCAATGCGCATACAGATTCTATTCACGTGCTGCCCTCGTAGTTATGTGCATAAATCCCTACCGAGAACTTCTAAAGCAGCGGCACGAATTGGGTAAGCAGACGGGATAAACCGTAGGTGCAGACAATTCCCAAATGGTCCATTGGACCAGCAGGCTGCCAAGTTACCTTACCTTAACTTAGCAGTATCACACAGCGTCTGGAACCATCCATGATCTGGGGCAACGAGAGCCCGTGTCTGGGCACTGTCATTGGAATCGGGAAGAAAAAAGAGGGTCTCTGGGACCCAGTGACGATGAACGCTCGTGGCTGGTGCCTAAGCGGTCTGCGGTCTGCGGTCTGGAAAGGAAAAGGGTTTTCTTCTGGTTGCTTTCTTTGGTTCCCGTAGGGCTGCGTGCTGGGCGGAGGTTGTATTGCGGTGTGGCTGAGTTTTGGCCCACCAAAAGTCAAGTTTCTTAATGGTATGATTTCTGTCTGTACCTGATACCATTCGGTAATTTATTAAGGACTGGAAATATGTGTAGGTAGTAGATGACTACCAGTTGACTGGGAATTGCAAGCAAGATAAATAAGCGCTGGGTGAAACCACTGCGTCATTCATACCGAGTGAGTTGCGGATTGAAAGCGGAATCCTGAGGATACTATGTAACAGCCATCTTCAATGGAGAAGTTCAATAAGTTGATCAATAATACGTGTGGGGGCGGACTCACGATTCAAATTGGCTCGTGGTCGCCTGGTGCTTGCCGCCGAGAGAGGGTTGAAACCATACGAATACGGCAAGACCACTGCAGGCGGCAGGTGATGGAAGGGCGAACTGAGACCATACCATACAACTCCATACGCCGGTGTATTGGCTAAGAAAGAAGTAAGCCTGGCGGCCTCAGCCTCGTTGCATGAGTGAGCTCAGCCATCAATCATCACCAATCCTCCTCTTCCTTCCCTTCCCTTTTCCCCTTCTTTTGCTTCTTCCTCCTCATCTTCCTCCTCTTTCTCTTCCCTCCGTCCCTTTTATCCTGCACCCTCAATCAATACCATTTTGGTTCTGATCATCTCGTCCCCCTTTTCTTTTTTTCTGCTTATTTGATCTGACCTCTCTTTCACTCTCCTTCACTCTCGCTTTCTTTGTCTTACTTCCGTCCATCTTACTCTTGGCGTAATCTTAGGTATGTTCCACTTTCTATTATTATTGGTTCTCTCAGCCACTTGGTTCCTCTTTTCCCTTTAACCCCCCCCCTCTGGCCCTCTCTGGTCCTCGCAAACCCGCCCGGCCGGCTTCCACTCAATTCACTCACCACTCTTTCGCTCGCTCACTCATCTGAAGCCGTCTTCCCGAACTCTCCGTTCTTTCTTCCTTCTTCCAAGCTTTCTCTCCGCTGACCATCATTGCTTCGCATCTCTTGGTTCTCTAGATCCCGTTCCTGTCACCATGTCTCAACAAGGATACTACAACGGTCCTCCTCCGCCGCAGCAGGCGTAAGTCCTTTCCCCTTCCCTCGTCCATTGCGCCCGGTCTCTTGGCCTCCGTGCCTGCTGTCGCGCCCCGGCCTTTCCTCTCCTCCAGACAACAATGGCGGATCCAACCAGACAGACTTGTCGAGCGCCATGAGGTTCATGTCCAACTGGTCATGCAATTCCCCTGTTTTGCGCTCTCCCGACCAGTGTATCTTGGGGACTGATTCCGACCACCTCATCGTGCGCGACAACTGCTAACTCATCACCTCCCTACAGTTACGGCCAATATCCCCCGCAAGGTTACCAGCAGGGTTACCCTCCTCAGGGCGGATACCCCCCTGGCCCTCCTCCCCAGGGCTATGCTCCTGTACGTTGCGATTCGAGATCATGCCACTGATTGTCACTAACCGTACCCTTCCAGCAACCCATGCAGTACCAGCAGCAACCCCCTCCCCAGCAGAAGGACCGCGGCTGTCTAGGAACCTGGTAAGCGATCCATCGCATTGCCCTCTCCAGTCCCGCCAGAATCTCTTACTAACCTATGTCTTCTGCTCAGCTTGGCCACTCTGTGCTGTCTGTGTCTGTGCGAAGAGACCTGCGAGTGCTGCTTTGACTGCATCGAGTGCTGTGAAATGTGCTAGACGCCATGATCGATTCATGACCCCCTCCACCTCCTTGTTAAACGAAACGAACTTCCTCCCGATAATGGCGTTGCTGCTTCTATTACACCCCCGACTACGACCACCACTCCCGCTTACACACCACTAGACCGCTCGAGTTATATAGCTGAAAAGGGCGCCGGGAATAAAGGGGCCGTTCAGCGTGGGTGCGGCTGCATGGTTGTCGCTGTTGCGCCGCACGGGCCTCGCTCCTGGATAATTTCCTATTTTCTTATGTTCTAATCTCATATGTTGCACTGCTTGATTTGTGGAACTGCGGTTTTTTTGTTGTATGGAGATTTGTGTGATTTATTCTGGCTGGGAATCGGGCTCTAGGCTCTTGAGGTTGTGCCCGTGAGAGAAGGTTCCAGAACAACCGGCCTCCTGCATAGCCGCATGACACTTAATTCATGATTACCTTTTACTGTTACTTTGGTATCTGCCGAGCGTGCGCATCGAGCTCGTTTCCCTGCGCTGTTGTTACTGTGGTGGTCTTTTTGCTTCGTCCAGTGTCCGTTGAATGTGACTTCGGCAATTTTGGCTGTGCTGGAATTGGTTTGTGACGAGAAGATAACTCAGTTGCGGATCGGCCTTATCGTCGCTTTACTATGATCCGACCTCCAAGGCTAAGTACGGACGAAACAGAACCATTTGCGCGACTTGGGAAGTACTTGGGAACTTGTTGTGGATGCTACTGTGGCCACTTCTGATTGTAGCTACTGGTATGCCTTCGTCTTGAGGTAATCATCTAGGGCATGTGACCTGTCGAGTGATTTCCCACTCCCATGATGTCATGTGCTTTCACATATATTCAATCGCGTAATTCAATCCATCACTTTTGGATGTTGAACGCAGCCAAGGGACCGGATAGGCGAAGTCGAACTCACCACCGGACTCTAAGACGATTCAAAACGAAGCAGTTGCCTTTTGTATCTATCCATCTTGGTTGGATAACTACCAAGAGTATGCAGGTACCACTACTACCTATCAGAATCAAACTCAAAGAACCAACTCTCCCCTGTTCTCTCTCTCCTTGATGTTCTCAGTTTGGCGACTTGAATATTTCCTATACCTACCTGGCTATGCACAACTAACTAGATGTGTATGTTTTGTACCCATATGTTCAGTATATCAAACCCCCTCAAATCGGAATTCCAGAGGATGAACTCGGCCAAGATAGTTGCTTTTACTTTCTGAGTTGCGGGAATACTGACAAACTACAGGTTTATATGTGAAATCATGGAAGGCAGGTTCTTACTCCGATTGGGAAACGAATCATGCGCGAGTAAAAAGTCAAGGTTCATACACTTTGTCATTAGGCATCAGAAGTCTTCGCTAGCGAGCTATCGGCACATATGGTCGGGTAAAGTGATTGGGGTAAAGTTATCACATCTCCAACCTCGGCCCATGATAATGCCGCCGCGCGTAGGCGTACCAATTCCCCGCCCCGAGAATGAGCATGATGACCAGCACGACGGAGGCGTAATCTATTTTTTCGAATGGGTTGCCTAGTTAGTACATTGTCTGAGTGAAGGGTGCATTTTGGTTGGGGCGGGGGAGATAGGGGAGGGAATTATCGGACGGGTTTATTTTTCTTTTTTCCTAATGGAAGGGTTGAGATGGAGGAGAAGGGGAAACGTACTCATATTCCCCCCCGTGACCGGAAACTCCGTGGGGAAGGTGAAGAAGATGGTGATGATCATCGCCCAGAGGATGCAGACCACGTTGCACAGGTAGCCCAGCGCATGGGGTACCTTGAAGGTCCGGTCCGGCGGGAGGTAGTCTGGGCTTCGGCGGCGGGAGAGGAGGAGGGCCGCTGGGATGGCGTAGGAGATTTGCGCGACGACTACCGTTGTGCTTATGAAGGCGTTGAAGGCTGTTTCTCTCGTCAGTTGTTTTTGGTTGTGGATGGTTTGGGGGGGAGGGGGGAGGAGGCGTACCGGTTGAGGAGCAGACGTAGACGATGCCTACGAGGAGGACGGCGAGGCCGTCGAGGAGAAGAGAGTAGACGGGCACGCCTAGGGAAGGGTGGATGCTGGCTAGCCGGCGGGAGAAGAAGAGGGCTTCGTCACGGGCAAAGGACCAGGTGAGCCGCGAGGCGGTCTGGTGGACGGCGTTGAGGGCGACCAGGGAGACGACGAAGAGCGCGGCCATGAAGATCGTGGCGGCTACGGGGGAGTGGGTGGCTTTCTCCCAGACGAAGAAGATGGGGAAGCTGTTGTGTCCCATAGGATGCTGTTAGTGGATTGCTTGACAGGCGGGCAGGTGGGGTGGGATATCTTAGAAGAAACTCACCCCGTGGGACTGTCGAGAGAGGCCTGGATGTTGTTGTAGCTGTACAGAATGGCAATGGCGAACGGAAACGCCGTCAGTAAGCCCACGATGACGGTCACAATCACTGCCTTGGGGACGATCCGCTCTGGGTCGAGACATTCTTCGGCCAGGTGGAGGGTGGCGTCGAGGCCCGAATACATGAACTGCGGCGTGGAGAGGCCGGTCAGGAAGGAGATGCCGTCGGGCCAGCCGCCGGATCCATTGACGAATTCCCCCCAGGTATGAGACGAGCTGACGTGCGCTGCGGAGCGGGATGGACAGGTAATGGTGAGGGCAAGGAAGGTTGAGATAGAGAGGAGGACTGTAGCAGATTGGGATTGGTCATAGTCAGCATCAAGTTGACTTCACCCGTGAGGAAGGCATGCACTTACAGCCCAGGTTATAGATCCACAGGGTCTTGTTGGTCAGGAAGATATTGTAGGCGACCATAATGCCGTTCAACAGCTGATACACCAGGAAGTAATGCCAGCCCTTGGTCTCATACTCGGGCTGCCACCGGATGACAATCGCCATGAGCACGTTGGTCGTGGACAAGGCGATGGACGCCCCGAGGGTGATCCACGCAAATAGGGCAGCGATGCCACTGGTGTATGACAGGACCTTGCTCCAGCGCTTCGAGGCCAGAATTGACGTGAAATGATATTGCCCTCCGGCCGTCGGGTAGACGCTCGCCAGCTCGGCCAAGGTGATGCCCGTGCAGAGCATCGCAAAGAAGACGACGATGATACCATACAGTAGCGAGACGGAGCCGCCTGACTGAATGGCAATCGAGAAACTCGCAGCTATCGCCACCCAGCTGTTGGTATTGTTGTACCCCATGGCGATGATGCTGAGAATACTGAAATTCCGCTTCAGATGCGCATCCGGCACGCCCGTGGTAGCAACATGGCCCTTGGCCATATCGACCTCGGGGTCATAGGAGGCCTCATGGTCCGCTTTGGAAGAGGAACGCTTAGGGTTGTCTGACTCCATTATCGCTCAAGTGTGGTTCTTGGTCAAGAAACGATGTGGGGAGGGGTGGAATGAAGCGTGCCAAGGGAGGAGCCATTCCATTATATGGCATCTCCCATCCTTCTACAGTACACATGACTTTTGCCTTCATATTTACTTACCTTGGAAGAAAGCCACAATATGATAAGCGAGGTTAGTAGTTTGATAAGATTCCTGGGGTGGGGAGGGTGGAATTCGATGATTCATCAAGAGCACGACTACTTGATAGGTAATGACAGATACTTGTTTACCAACAGATAGCCCGGAACGCTTATCGAGTTCCGAGCCCATTTATCAAAGCGGGCCCCGGGTTGGCCCCAAATTAAGCTTAGAGAGGCCCATTACAGCGGAACTGGGGCGGAATTATGCGCCATTTGCCCCAAGATGATCGTCGCTGATAATGCGGGGGAGATGTAGCTAGTGATGCCAGAGTGCCCGTGGAAGAGACCTCCTTTACTGAAGGCCTGAACCTGGGACCCTTAGCTCATTCCCAGTCCCCACAGTTCACAGGCAGACACGTTACTATACTATATATGTTGTCGATTGACGATGGAATTAAATAGCGGTTCCGAGCCGTCAGGCTAACGGGGGGATTCCCTCGGCAATCAGAGATTCAGAGTTTATTTCTCCGCAACGCGGGGGAGGCGGAATCAAGCTGCTCGATGAGGGTCCTCGTATTGAGGAGCCCCAATTAAACTAGCAGGAAACAGTCTCACTCCTCAAATAATACTCGTTCATTCGACTGGCGTTATACATGCTTCCGTGCAGCAGACTTGCACCCGTCACTTGCGGATAGGATGTAGTGTCTGCCCCCTCCTAGAACCGTCCTTATTTCCACAGCTCACCCAGTCTAGCCTCCCCTGTTCGGAGACTTGTCCAACATTCAAACATACCTTTCTGGCCTTGTACAAAGCAATCGCCGCTTTGGTGGCTAGCGCGGTTACTTCGTGGACCCCGGTTGGGGTCTGGCGGCCAGTCTTTAGGCGTCGTGCGAGCGATGCAGGCCTTTCCCCTTCGTGAATAGTGCCGCAATGGTAGCCACAAGCCCAAAGCAGGCTGACGCCAAGAAGCACAGACGGATGCCCTGATAGTAGACCAACCGCGCAGCTAGTTGGATGTCCGGTGGAAGGTTGTGAATTGCGGAGACCGAATGACGAATCTCCTCGATAATCTAGTGGAATATGACCTTGATCAGCCCTTGCCCCCATGGGTTAGTATGCTCAAAGAAAGGAGTGTTACTTTCCATTTGTCTGGTATTCCACTCAAGGCCTCCCCGAGGCCCGAGCGCAGTGTATTCTGAATAATGGTGGAAGTAATGGCAACCCCCCAAACAGTGCCCATTGAACGAACCAGGTATACGGTGGAAGCTGACACGGCGTGGTCTTACCGCCAGGTCAGCTTAGTACAATCAGTGCACTGACACGACAAGGGACTTACCTGCATGGTCAAATGCAGCGAGAAAAGTGAATAAGATCCCTGGGTACACAATACCCTGCCCAAGGCTCGCTGGAATCAAGTAAGTGAAGTATTTCCATTCTGAATCCTGGAAATGCAGGAGCATCACCAATGCGTTGCCAATACACATGAGCAACGACCCAGCTCGAACCAGGTAAGCGAGTTTACCCCAACGAGACATTACGAAGCCGGAGATAATTCCGCCAATTGGGGTAGCAAAGGATGGAATTGCGAGTCTGGCGCCGGCCTTTGCAGGTGACTCCATTAGCACAACTTGGAAGAAAAGGGGTAGTGTGAAAAGAAACTGCCTTCGTTAGTCACAGTTGCGGATCAGTACCTAACTGGGATCGAGGCTCTTACAGCGTAGGCGGCCATTCCCACGCAAACATTAGCAACCTGGGTGGCCACAGGAAGTACCCCCTTCAGCATCCGTGGTGGGATCAGGGGCACTGCACTCGTTCTTCCTTCTATGAGAATGAACACGGCGAGGAAAGCCACACTTGCCACCAACGAAATTATCACCCACACGTTGGTCCAAGGAAGCTCGTTGCCGCCTAGACTCAGACCTACCAGCTGGGTCGACAGACCTAGTATAAGAGCACATGCCCCAGAGATGTCAACAAGTCGCCAGATGGTCCGAAAGCCGTGTCCTTCCTCAAGGTATCTCGTCGGAGCAGGAAGCTGAAGTACAAGGTGCCCTGTGAGCAATGCTAGAAGACCAACTGGAACTTGCGACAGGAAGCACCATCGCCAGCCGACAGAGTCGACAATGGAGCCTCCTAGGGATGCACCACAAATTGACCCGAAGCCATGCATCACATTCTGAACCGCTTGATACATCCCTCGGCGACGGAACGGGATCAGATCCGAGTTGATGATAGTGGCTGACTGATGTCAGTGACAGACCCTGATCAGGTACTTTGACGAAACAATGATATTGTCAAACTCACCCATGGTCATCAGGCCTCCTCCTCCGATGCCGGTAAGTGCTCTCATGAGATTCAGGAACACCACATTCTTCGCAATCCCACATCCAAGACAGCCAGCGATAAAAGTGATCGTGGCCGTGAAGAAAGAGACTCGCCGACCGAATATATCCGAAAAGCGACCGTATAATGGCTGGAATGCGGTGCTCGTGATGAGGTAGGAAGTGGTGAGCCACGAGGCGGTGTTGGCGGCATTAAACTCGGAGCTGATGACCGCGTAAGTCGATGCAGTGATGGTACCATCGAACCCGGAGAGAAAGACGTTTGACATGATTGCTAGATTTCGTCTTAATGTGGCTTCTATGCTTTTGGTGGACTACTAACCTAGCTGTATCCAAACGAAGCCTGGTGGTGGCTTCCATGAAGCTTCCGGGTCGGAGCGCAGCAGCGGCTGTTCTTCCTGAGCAGTTGGCAGCGCTGGCTCGACATCAGACACATGTGCATCGTGGGTGGTCATGGTTAGTCACTGCTTGGATATTCCGAGTTAGGAACGCAATCGTTTGAGGATTGCCTCTGACACAGGGACGCGTCTGGCTTAAATTTATCGACACTGAACAAGACCCCCACAGTGGGGAAGTCAGCACGGAATCGTGCTCCACTTTGACACGATTGCCAAGCTTGTATATCGGTTTGCTGAGTTTGCATGCTTATCGAGAGCAGGATCTCTGGCAATGCGGCTCAAGGCTGACATTGGGTGATTTCTTCAGGTTTTGAACTTTCAACTGCTTCGAGACCCGACAGCAAATCTCTCTGTTGTCGAGTAGTTAAGTCGTTCGCAAGACTCTCATGTGCAGAGCGATAGGTTTTTCCATTGATAACTGAAATCCTGCTTTGCACTAGGGAATTTAGGTCAAAGACAAGGTCATCTATTATTATTAGTCAAAGCCGTTGCTGTAACAAATCGTCAGGTTTTGATCTACTTGAAGCCGTTGTGAGTGCCAAATAGCCAAATCACGGGCTTGCTTCTCGAATTGGCTCGTGAAAATCTAGAGGGCCATGAGTCTTGTGTAGAAGTGTTTCAACCGAATAGCTTTCATGAGTGAGCACGTCTTTTGTCGCAGTCTTAATCTCATTGCAGGCTGTGGTGGTGGTAGTAGTGGTGAGTTACTGCGAGGCATACTATGAATGGAAATTGGTTCCTAGGTACTGCTCAGGTGATCCAAGCATGACTGATTCGGAACTTTCCCTTCCCGCGCGGATTGGATCAGATCCGGGGTAGTGACGGGAAGTGGGTGGAGCAAGCATACCTAGTATGCACTAAGATAGAATAACGATACGTATTCCTCCTACTCTCTCATCCCCATCCCATCACATTCACTACCTAGTATGGTCCCACAGCATCCGCAATTCTCCTGAATATGCAGACTAATCACTGCGATTGTGTATCTATGCATATTCTTCGCATTTCCTCCTGCATTACTTACCCTCCCCGAAACCTCCCTTGCCATGCAAAGATCCAAGCTGACAGCTAAGACCATTCTTGGCGGGGTATACTCTATACGAAGTACTGTTTCTTTGACGCGCCACTCGCAAGCGAAGTACTTGGTCTATACAACGAAAGCCACGCGGTAGACTACGACCAAAACGGTAAGAGCGCTCAGGCGGGCAAAAGCCTCTCCAGTTTGGTTCTGGCACTGATTCGACCATGGCTCGAGGACTCAATAATGTAGGTAAGAGATAACATCCCCTCGGATGTGGACTCTCCCGTCTTCCGCCTGTGTTGTTCTTGCTGGCTTGGATCCCCATACTTAACTTTCTCAGGTATCTGACATCCTCATCCCACTTTCTCATCCACTACCCTACATTTCCTTCGTGTCTATTCCGTTCAAAAGGCCGGGACTCTATGTCATGAATTCACCTCAACTTCAAAGAGCTCTGTAACGGCTAGCTCCCTGCAGTAATCATGCAACCAGTACCTCCCCCTCCTTTTGGAGCTTCGGCAGTTTCCGCTACGATGGGCGCGGGGATCGAAAGCTCGTTTCACGTCACAGAAACCATCGAGGAGAAAGACGAGAGCGAGCAGTCCTTCGGTCAGGAGTCGGAAGAGGGTATCACCCACAAAGATGAACAGAGGATTGCTTCTCTGGCAAGAAGTCTGTCGCATCTGTCCGAAAAGAGTACCATCGGCGAGGGCACCGATACCTTCTCCAAAGAGCCCAGTGATCCTCAGCTTAATCCTAGCTCAGACCAATTCAACGCGCGCAAATGGACCAAGAATCTACTCCGGATCAAATCCCGCGACCCAGACAGATACCCTCGTCGCACAGCGGGCGTTTCCTTCCGCAATCTCAACGCTTTTGGCTACGGAACCGCGGCGGACTACCAGGCAAATGTAGCTAATATGTGGCTGAAAGGTTTGGACTGGCTGAAGGGCGTATTAGGTCACCGACACAAGGTCAGGATCGATATTCTCCGCAATTTCGAGGGGCTTGTGCGCAGTGGTGAGATGCTCGTCGTGCTTGGCCGCCCTGGAAGGTAAGCTATATCACCCGTTGGTGACAATCATGACTTTTCCCATTTCCTAGCCTTTTGTGTGTGTTG